CTGAAACACTGAAGGTGTGTTGCAGGACCGGAGCGGGGCCCAGCAGGTGGATAGGATCCATCTAGCCGGAGAGGGCCGCCCCCCTGCCATAACAGCTGTTTGTACTGAATAAAGCCCCCTCCTTCACTGCACCCCAAGTTGGGGAGCCCTTTTCGTGTTGAATTGGATCAACAGTCATGGTTGACAAGAGCAATGGTAGGGAGCTGGAGGAGGTGGGGAGCACCTTCAGAATGTGTGCAGACAGAGCTGACACCGTGGCAGGAGGGAGAGAGGAAAGGGCACAGCTTGGTTGTGAGAAAGTCTCAATACACCGTGGGGGTCTCTGGGCGAAAGTTGCGTGTGAGCAGGAATGGCCTGACTTTAGAAACTTGCCTTGCTCAGCCACCTGTGGGGAGACTCAGGTGATCCCTGCAGGTAGTCCAAGGGTGGCGGCTGGAGGTTGCTGGTAAACTCGGCTCCCTAGGCCTAAGCGACACCCCTTGGGGCCACCACAGTACAGCTGTTGTACAACACAGGTCACTCCCTTCTCCCCCGTGTCCCAAATGCTGCTCTTGGGTCATCACAGACACTTGTAAATATCTTTTACACTTGGAGTCTTGTCAGGAAATCCTCCCTTCTTTCCTTCCATCCGGGCCACCTGGAGTGACCCCAGGGTCTGTGTTATACACGCAGGGAGCTTTCTTTGATGCACAATATCAAACGAGACACGAAGACACAGCAAGAGGTCTGTTTGCCCAGTCACTAGCAAGTCCGCCAATTCAGCGCCTTTAAAAAAAAAAAAAAAAAAGATTTTTTTATTGATATTTAGAGAGAAAGGAAGGGAGAGGGAGAGAGAGAAACATCCATGTGAGAGCAGAACATCGATCGGCTGCCTCCTGCACAACCCCTACTGGGGATCACGCCTGGAACACGGTATGTGCCCTGACCGGGAATCGAACTGGCTACCTTTCCGTGCACAGCACGACACACAGCAAGCTGAGCCGCACTGGCCAGGGCCAGTTCCAAGTCTTGACACATTGTGAACCTCTCCTTCACAGGTACGATCTAAGTCTGGAGGAAATGAGAGCTTTGACAGTTCAGAGAGTGAAGTTCACCTTGGGCCTGCCTCTGTTAAAACGTGCATTTCAGGAACAGGTAGGTGTCATTGTTTTGGTGGTGCATGTCCTGGGGAACTGACAGTGTCGCCCGTGGATAGTGCCTTCCTCAGCCCCCCTTTCTGCCCTGCTCTCCCCCTGCCTTTGGCCCCTCATTCATTCTCTCAGTCTAAGGAACAGGGAAATTAGCAGAAGTAATGAAATATTTGTTCACAAAACCAATATGATTTTAGGCATAACATTCAAATACCTGAGAAATGTAAATAAACTGATTTTAGAGGCTTTTAAGACATTTCAGACTTGTTGGAAGTGTATGAGCCTTGTTTGTCTAAAACTTGCCATTCTAAATTCAGTTAGATTATTTTAATTTAGCCTCATTAAAAAGAGTCTGTGATTTGAGAGTTCAAAATTTTCAGGCTTTGCAAGCACATTAGGAGCTGTGTGATGCATTAGGAGCTATACATTTTAGCCAAGTTTAAATCCATTTCCATTTCATTCCTTAAACCTAACACTTTACATAGGGAAAAACCCCCAAATTTCCTGGCGAGATGCCTGGAGAGGAGCCTGAACTGGGGATAGACTTTGGCTGAGCACGTGGCTGCAGTGAGCCTGGCCCCTTCTTGCCCAGTAGTGGGGTCTATAGGGGCAGAATCTGAGGATTGAGAGGTGAGAGTCTTCTCATTCAGGAGACCACTGTGGCCTCTTTTCCGTGGAGTGAGGATCAGAACTGGTGTAGGGTCTGAGGTCCTTGTTTAGAAATGATCACTGCCCTGTCATCCCCTTTGGTTGGCTGTCCTGAGGATGTAAAGACAAAACTTAGCATCTCAGAGCTTTGGCACCCACGGCATTGTCACCTGTGGGTGCAGAGCTCGTGGAAGGAAAGCAGTCACATAATAGAGGGAGATGTGCTTGCAAAGCCTGGGAAATCATTTCATTCTGAGCTAATAAGTTGTCTCTCCATGGAACATACTTTCAGAATACAACCAAGAAAGAAAACAAAAGAAAACCCAAACCGCCTTTGCTTCCAGCCACTTGTACTATCAGAGCCTGGCTTCTGAATGCATCAGCGTGGGCTGGCTGGAAGGTGAAACCCTGACCTGCAGCCTGTCTCCTGCTGCCTTAATCAGCCCACATGTCTGTGGCTTCACTTAGTGTCAGTACTTGGGACCCGGACGTGAGGGTTGATCCTTTAATGATGTTGACTAATTGCTGCTCGACCTGGACTCTGAAGGATTAGTTGGTGCAATCTCGCTCCTGATGAGGTGTGTGGAGTCCTGGATCCAATTATCTTCTTATTTTCACGGTGCCCTCCGTGGCCTCAGGCAGCCTGGACAAACCCGTCCCGGTGATCAGCTGTAATTCTTCCAGGAGGCCCTGGACGATCCCTCCAGTATCCATTTTAGCCCATTTGGCCTTTCTCTCTGTGGGAATTTGCAAAAGCCAGTGAGCCCGAAGGAAATTGAACTAGCCCATCCTTGATGCTGTGGGCTCAGCTTGTCGGGTGGAGGGTCACGAGACTCAGCAGCACATCTGTGTTTGAAGGTTCTCGAGTTCCACCCTGTAAACAGCTGGAGGAGCTGTCCGTGTCCAGTAATTCTAGAAGAAGTGTTACATGATTCATGCTGCCTCTTCATAAAAATATTGAGCCATGGCTGTACTGCCTGTTCGGAGAGCGTTCCAGGTCCTTCCCTGGCCCCTCTCTCGTGTTTCTGTTAACTTTTGTGGCTGATCCGATGAGCTCCAAGGCAGAACGCAGTGTGTCATGTGTAATGATGATGTTCTCAGGGCAAATGAGGAGTGAGCCTCACTCGTTCCAGGTCTCTGTGGACAGTTCACAGGCCAAGAATAAGCCATTAAAATATTTCCACTGTGTTTTCCCCTTTGCCATCTGCAATAGATTTGAGAAGTTCCAATAATTTTAAAAGGAAAAAACAGTGTCTGACTTTGACTCGTGTGCACGCACACACACACGCCCGGTGTGAACACCATCGCTGCACTTCCTCAACTTTTCCTGTACCTGTCTCCAGTGACATCCCTTTTGTGCCCCTGAGCCACCTGTCCCCTTCTCTGCCTGAGGATTCCAGCAGTGGATCCTCTGGGGGGATGGTGTCGCTGACTCCCTGAATTTCCAGATGAGGCAGGACCCAGGTAGGACATTTACTTTGTGGCAATGCTAGGACTGGATCACTGCCCCATTTTCGTTGACTTGTTCTGTGTGTATGGCCGCTTCCTCAGAGACACTGGTCCCTGCAAGCTGACAGGCTGGTGACCTGCATGCAAATCACCATAACCAATAATAACAGCTCAGACTTACTGAGTACATACTTCATGCCACAGTGCTAAGAACTTTAAAGGAATGAACTCATTTAATAGTCACACATTCCTAAGGGTACCCCCATTTTATAGATTAGTAAACTGAAGCTGAGTAATTGGCCTGAGGTTATACAATTAGTGAGTTGCATTAATTGAGGAGCATGGGTTCAAACCCAGTTGGTCTGCTTCCTGAGCCCCTTAGATCTGGTGGTTCTTGGCGCTGGCTGCCCCATTAGCATTGCCTGGGGAGCTTTCCAGACTCTTGCTCTGCAGGCTTTTGCTCAGGCCAATCAAATCAGCATCGCATTCTCCCAGGTGGGTGATGTGGTATGCTGGCCGGCTTGAGTGCTGCTGCACTGTTCTTTTCTGGGACCCTGTACTGTCTCCCCCAAATCATTCCTGTCCAGCATTCGGTCCCTGCCAGTGGTGGTTCAGGCCTGACTCATAGGAATGCTCCATCCCAACAGTTCTTTTCCCAGGAGGGAGCCAGTTGGGGTGAGGCTGTTCCTGGACAGGTGAAGTGAGGAGCGGGGACAGATACCTGGATAATGAAGCATCCACTCAATGACTCTCCCCCAAGCATCTCTCTCCCATCCTGAGCTCTGCTTGTCTTCATCCCCATGTTCCATACGAGTGGTGGGCATAGTAGCAGCATCATTGTCTAAACCAATGGTTCTCAAAGGATGATCTCAGGACCTCAGGGAGCCTCCAAGACATTTTCAGGTACTACCTGAAAAGTAGATCTTTAGCTACCTGTATGTGCGACACTAGATTTTCATCATAAATGTCAACCAGCATAGCACATTGCAGCAGACTCTGTGCAGCAGTGGGTATGAGAGTCCAGCTGTCTTTTGCTAAGCCAGATACTAAAACAATTTTTGCAAAAATGTAAACAATGCCACTTTTTTCACTGATTTTGGGGGGATTTTGGAAATTATGGTTACTTTATTTAAGAATTATGTCATTTACATTAATGTGTAATGGGTTTATTATTTTTTTAATGAATAAATATTTAAAATTTTTTCAGTTTTAATTACTGGGACGGTGAGTTGATAGATACAATCCATATAAACGAATGCTTTTTCGAATCTGTGATAATCTTGAACAGCGTAAAGGAGTCCAGAGACCATGAGCTTTGAGAACAGCTGACCTAAGTTACCCATTGTTTTCTTGGGAAGTCCAGTCTTAGTTCCATGTGGAGGGGAATTGGCAGGAGACTGATGGCTTTGATTTATCTTTTTTATAGTTATCTATGATTTCTATCAGAATTTTAGGTAGTCTCAGTTTGGGGTGGCTTTTGTTTTTGTATTTAGAGAAATATCAGGTGGGTGATCAGATCTAAAATGGAATGAGCTTCTAAGGTCAGAATCTGAGAGGGCACTTCCCAGCCGGGAGATGGTGGCGGCTTTCTCCATTAACCTGGGAAGGGGCAGCCTTTCCCAGGAAGCAGTGCTGCTAAAGGGCAGGGCGTGTGTGTGTGTTTTGTAGAAAGGGAGCTGAGCAGGGAGTATGCCAAGCGGCTGAGGATGTCTACCCTGCCACTGGCCCTTACACCAGCCCATGACACCCAGGCCTGCCCTGCTGCCCACAAATACCAGCCTGACTGGCCTGCAGACCCTGAAGAGCGCCCTCCTCCATCCCCGTGCTGGCTCCTGACCTACTCTGAGCTGTTGGCTCCGACACCCTGGTCTTGGCTCTGCCCTTGGCCCTCTGGCTTCTGTTTGTACTGGAACCCAGGCCTTTCCTAGTGGGCTGTGACGGGCTGCCCCTGGCTCTCAGTCTTGTGTGCTGCCTTTGGCAGGAGTTTCTTTTCCAGCTTGAGCTCCACGGACTTGGACACTGGCCACTTGGCCAGTACTCTGGCCAGGCCAGCCCTGACCCCAAGGGAGGTCTTGGAGGATTTGAGCAGAGACAAGAGGACAGAGTGGCCTGTTTACAGAAGTTCCTCTGTATAGATTGGCACTTCAACCTAGTTGTCACCTGTGATGGCCACAGGGATTACTTGAAAGGGAGTGCCTGGGAGTGAGTTGGGACCCATCAAGGGACTCCCATGTAGCTGGAATTCTGTACTGTAAACCATTCTACATAATGAAACATTCTCAGTTTAAGCCATAATTATTATTCTTGCAGTGAAATAGTATGTTAAACATAATAATTTGCTGTCCTTTGCTGATTTCCTTCTGTGTGCCAGGTGAAGTGATTCATTCTTTTTACAATTGTTTATTGAACACCCACTATGCGCCAAGCATTGTTCAAGAAGCAGTGAATGAAGCAGGCAGAAGATACCTGTCTTTATGGAGCTGGCATTTTAGTCTGGGAGGAGGCAGATAATAAACCAACAGACAAGAAATGTGTGGGTTGCCAGATGGTTGTAAATGTGGCTAAAAATTCACATGGTAAATTGGAAAAGAAGTAAAACCGTCTCTGTTCACAGATAATGGGATCTTTTATGTAGAAAACCTTAAAGACTCCACAAAAACCTGTTAGAACTAATAGACTCAGCAAAGTTGCAGTGCACAAAATCAACCCGCTTTTCATGAAACAAACGTAAAATAATGTACTTTCCATTACAGAAGAGGAAGCACGTGTGTCAGCTGGTAATGTCACTAGGGTACGTTCATCATTGGATGCTGCCGATGTTGATAAGTTAGCGATTGCAGGAATAGTCGGGAAACTTTCCAGAGCAGCTAGGAATTTGGTAGGAAGAGGTATGCAGTTTAAGGCAAG